TTGTATATAAAAATTTACTAAAAAAAAGAACTATTCAAGTAAGTAATTAACGTACGAATTTCAATCTCAAAAATTTGAAAGAAATAACAGTAATTTACTGATAAATTTATTGATAATTTATACAATAATAATAATAATAATCTACACTAATCTACAAATAAAACAATAAAATTTGGTATTAAAAAATCACAAAAATATCAATTACCTTTGTCAATGGGGACCGTAATGCTGTGGAGGCAATGAAGGCAGTAAAGCTGGATTTTGACATACCATAAATGAAATTAAAGTTTTTGTAAACTAAATTCCAAGGAAAAAATAAAAAAAGAAACAAAAATAAACGAAAAAAAAAAAAAAAACCTCTGCTGCAACTTACAAAAGACAGGATGGAGGCGCGTGGAGGCTTAGAGGTGATGGATTTTGCACCAAAATGCACAGATCTACAAAGAAATCTGCAAATACCGGAATGTAAATCAAAGGAAACAAAAAAAAAAAAGAAAGCACCAGATCTGCGCAGGGGCCAACTCACCGGCTTAGAGGTGATCACAAAGCAGGGGGATCGATGGCAACAAGCCAGAATCCGATGGGACCGGCAAGAACAGGGCCGGAGAAGATGAACCAGATCTGCCGCAGAGGAAGAAGAAGAAATGGGGGAAAGAAAGGGGGACCTGGGGGTTAATGACGAGTATATTCGACAGCATTGCTGTCGAATATACAGGGAAACGACGACGTTTCCAATACATTCGACAGCAATGCTGTCGAATATATAAGAAGCATAATCGACAGCCAAGAGGCTGTCGATTATATATATTCGACAGCCAATTGGCTATCGAATAAAGCTATATATTCGACATATATTCTGTCGAATAAGTTTTCTGTCGAATATGTGGCAAAAAATCGATTATCATCGACAGTCAACCTTATTCGACACCATTCCTGTCGAATATGTCATTTTATTCGACAGCTACTTGGCTGTCGAATATGTATTTGTCGTATTTGCCCTGTTTTCCAGTAGTGCAGGAGCCATCTAGCTATTTGTTAATGAAGAACTTTGCCTGCCAGTGCTTGCTTTTTATATAGTAATTATCTATTAGTATTTTTAAACATAATATTAAAAAAAAAATTTGTCTTTTAACGTTTTATTTGATTATCACAACCCTGCCCCAAATCTCCTGCCAAATAGATTGAGAACAACACATGATATAATATCATTCTAAGAAAAATGCTAGCTTCACTT